AGGAGGAAATATGGAGACAAAGTTTGGAGCAGAGACTGAAGAAAAGGCCATCCAGAAACTGCCTCACCTGGGGATCCAGCCCATATACAGTCACCTAACCTGGACACTATTGTGGGTGCTGAGAAGTGCTTGCTGACAGGAGCCTGATATGGCAGTCTCCTGAGAGGCTCTGCCAGAACCTGACAAATACAGAGGCAGATGTTTGCAGCCAACCTTTGAACTGAGTGCAGGGTCCCAGATGAAGGAACTGAGGGGGTTTGCAGCCCCATGTGGGGAGCAATAGTGTCAACTGGCCAGATCCCCTGGAGCTCCAGAAGATTGAACCACCAACCAAAGAGTACACATGGAGGGACCCATGGCTCTGGCCACATATGTGGCAGAAAAATGACCTTGGTGGATATCAGTGGGAGGAGCGGACCTTGGGCCTGGGGGTGGGGGGTTCGATGCCCCAATGTAGGGGAATGCCAGGGCAGGAAGGGAATGGGTGGGAGGGGGAGAATCCTCAAAAAGGCAGGGGGATAGGGATGGGATAGGGGGATTTCCAAAGGGGAGACCTGGAAAGGGGAAAACAATTGAAATGTAAATAAATAAAGAAAATAACTAATAAAAGAAAATAAATAAAATTTCAAAAACAAAAAAAAAATAATAATGACTATGAAAAGGTTAGAGAAATACAGGAAAGAAACATGCAGTAACTGTGGGACCATATGAAAAGAACAAACCTTCCAAATATTGGCCTGGGTGAGAAAGAATCCCTGGTTAATGAAATGGACCAGATCATTAACAAAATCATAGGAGGAAAAAATTCCCCAAACTAAGGAAAGATATACCCATATAGATATAAGAAGCACAAGGAATCTCAACTAGTTAAGACCAGACATACAAACGGGGACACACACACACCACGGCATAGTATAATTAAAATACAAAATATCTAGAGCAAAGTAAAACTATTGAAAGCTGTAAGAGAAAAGAAAACAAAAGTCACATATAAAGGAAAACATATCAGAATATTTCTCAATGAAAGCTGAAAACCAGGAGAGTTTGGACCAATGCATCCTAAATTCTAAAAGACCGTGACTGACAGCCTAGGCTACTGTACCCAGAGAAAGCACCTTTAATCCAAGAGCTAAATAAAGTCAACCATAGGTCAAGAGGTGGAGCAAATCACCAGCTGATAGGGAGTGAACATAAGTAAGCAGAAAGGAGGGTCCTTGAGTTGCAAGACAGCCTAGGGAAGGAGAAAAAGTTTTATCCCCACCCCACCCCTCTCCCAGGGCATCAATGGAGTAGGAAGGTCAGCTGGGTGCTTTCTCTGCCTCTCTGAGTTAGCAGGTTGTCACCACGGTGTCTGGCTCCTGAGTCTTCATTTGGAAAATTGAACGTTTGGAATTTAGTTTTTATAAAACAACAGAAAGACAAAAAACATGTGATCATCTCATTAGATGAAGGAAGGCCTTTGACAAAAATCCAATGCCCCTTCTTCATGCGTGATGAAAAGATCTGGAAAGATAAAACTGGAATAAAAGACATTTTCAACAGCACATAGTCAAACTGGACAGCCGCTTGTAGAAGAATACAAATCAGTCAATACTTATCACCTTGCACAAAACTCAGTTCCACATGGATCAAAGACCTCAACACAAGGCAAGATAGATTGAATCTGCCAGAAGAGAAAGCAAGGAATAGTCTTGAACTCATTAATAAGGGAAAAGACTTGCTGACTAGGACTCAGAGAAAATAGGTGAGAACGACAGTTAATAAATTGGACCTCATGACACTGAAAAGCTTCCATATGCCAAAGAACTACCATCATTTGGACAAAGTGGCAGGTAACGGAATGAGAGAAAATTAACAACTACACACCCAGTAGAAGGCTAATATCTAAAATACATAAAGAACACCAAAAAAAAAAAAAAAACCCTAGACACTAAGAAAACACATAACTCAATTTAATTCAAAAAGGGCTTTCAAAAGATGAGAAACAAATGTTCAACATCTTTAGTCATCGGGAAAATGTAAATCAAAGGTACTTTGAGATTTCATCTTACACCAATCAGGATGGCCAAGATCAATAAAACAGATGATTGTTCATGCTGGCAAGGATGTGGGGTGAGGAAACACTCATCCAACGCTGGTGGGGGGGTACAAACTTGAACAGACACTATAGGAATCAGTATGGCAGTCCCTCAGGAATCTGGGGATATATTTACTTCAAGATCCAGCAATGCTACTCTTGGGCACATACCCAGAGGACTCTACATCGTACTACAGAGACATTTGCTCAGTGATGTTCACTGATACTCTATTCCTAATAAGTAGAAATTATAAACAGTCTATATGTCTAGCAACAGATAAACGTATCAGGGAATGTGGTACATTTACACAATGGAATGTTACTGTTTTAAAAAAAAAACAAAATCATGAAATATGCAGGTAAGTGGATAGAACTAGAAAAAAATCCTGAGTGGCATAAGCCAGCTCAAAATGACTAATACAGTATGTCTTCTCCCGTATGCTGATGTTAGCTCTTAACCCTTTGAGAAGCATGGTACCATCTGAATAACCACAGAGGTTGGTTATTCAGAGTAAGGAACAATGCAGGGATGGACGGATCTTCCAAGGAAGGAGAAATAGAATATACAGCTACAGAGAAACGGGGAGAATGGAACAGAAGGATTAATTGGAGGGGGGCTGGAAGAGCGAGGTAAGGGAGGTAATATGGGGAGGGTCAGCTAACACTAGGGGCAATTTAGTGGGTCATATAGGAACCTACTACAATGGAAGCTTCTTAAAATACATATATATATATATATAAAAGAAATTAAAATTCAATCACCAAAATGGAGGAGACAAAGAGCCAACTAAACATCTCTCTCTACCAAAGAAAACCTCCACTCCCAAGAATGGGTTACATCTTATCAAATTATTAGTCCACGGAGCCCCATGAAAGCCACCAACAAACTCCAGCTGCTGCCATGGCTGATGCTCTCCATAACTTGATGGCAAGGCCCTGTTGCTGAAGAGAACACTTAAATAGCTCACTGAACACAGAGAAGTTGAGCTGGTGACTACTTAGTGCCTTCATCCCTACTGACTGGCATTCATGGTTCTCAGCACACTAACCAGAGGAAAAAGGTTAACACTCACTCAGCTACAAAACCCTTTGATCAACAATGGTGGCCAGACTGCATGGTCACTGCACACAGGTACAATGGCGACATGGTTTCTTTGGTATCATCGCTTCTGGCTTTTACAATCTTTCCACCCACTCTTTGGCATTTCTCCCTGAGAACTGAGGAGAGGGATTTGATGGAGACGTCCCACTTAGGACTGAGGGTTCCATGGTCTAATACTCTCTGCATATTGTCTGGCTGTGGGTCTCTGATTGTTCTCATCTACTTTAGGAGAACACTTAGGAGTTACTTTATTACTATGTTCCTCTGGCAGTATATGGTTTGTCACTAGACCCATTGCCTTCCTAGTAAAAGACTTTTGAATAAACCTAACCAGGCAATCAAAAGGCCTCTAAAATGAAAACTTTCAAATCTCTGAAGAAAGTTATTTAGGAAGCCAGAAAACAGAAGGATTCTCCTTTGTTCATTTATCTATATAATTAATATTATGAACATGACCATCTTCCAAAAGCAACTAGATCCATGGGATCCCAATCAAAATACCCCCAAAGTTCAACATCACTCCATAATAAAAAAAAAAATCAAAAATTAAATAGAGTGTCTTAGTTATGGTTTTACTGCTGTGAACAAACAACATGACCAAAGCAACTCTTATAAGGACATTTAATTGGGTCTGGCTTACAGGTTCAGAGGTTCAGTCCATTGTCATCAAGGCAGGAACATGGCAGCATCCTGCAAGGCATGAGGCAGGAGGAGCTGAGAGTTCTACATCTTCATCTGAAGGCAGCTAGTGGAAGACTGACATCCAGGCAGGTAGGATGAGGGTCTTATAGCCCACACCCAGAATGACACACCTACTCCAACAGGGCCATGCCTACTCTAACAAGGCCACACCTCCTAATAGTGCCACTTCTTGGGCCAAGCATATACAAAGCACCACACAGAGGAATAACCTGTACCTCAAAAAGAAAACCAGAGCCCCAGTCACACTGAGTAGGAAAACCATGTGGTATGCCTTGAAGTGTGCGTTACCAGAAGACAACTCCATCACTTTTCTTCAGATGTCTTAGTCAAAATAATAAGAGACACTTCCAAACAGGAAAGAAAAAAAGTTAAAATTCGCATTTTAACAAAACAAAAATATGATTATAGACATTTAGGAAAAGAAAAAAAACAACTGATAAACAAGTTAAGTAAATGTGCAAATACAAAATTCAGTACATTTATAGTATGTCTAACTTTTTGTCATTATATACAGTCGCTGTATATATTGTAATGTGATGTAAGGCCGTTCTCACAGAAGTATATATTATACAGTGAGCATATTCCCCTCCATAGCTCTCCTCCCCTCCCCCTCCCCTTCTTCACTCTCCCTCTCCCCTATGAGTCCCCTTTATTCTCCAGATTAACTTTTTCTTTCATGTAATATATACATACATGGTTATGTACTTATATAGTATCTAAGAACGACATAGGTGAGAAAATGTGTTATATTTGTCTTTCTGAGACTAGCTTAATTCACCTAATATGATAATCTTTGTTTTCTGCAAATAATACATCAGTCACTGCCTTTTCCATGCACAAGTAACAGATACCTGTAGAAGAACTCACAAAATCAATCCCATACATACAACCCTACAAGGAAATACACAGGAATAAATCTAATCAAGATGAAAATTGAGGAGGGGGGGGGGGGGGGGAGGGGGGGGGGGAGGGGGGGGGGAAGGGGAGGGGAAGGGGATGGGGAAGGGGAAGAGAATAGAAGAAGAATGGAAGAATATAAGAGGAGGAAGAAGAATAATAATAAAAAGAAGAACTAAAGCAATGAATCTGTTACAGGTTTCCCCGAGATGGTGCACTTACTTCTTCACCGCCACAGTCACAAGTTTCGTTTTCCTCCACTCTGCCATCTCCACAGACTGCTCTTGGATACCTTTGCATCTGTGGCTTATTCTGCAGACATTTGGCACCCTCGTTTGATTTAAAGTGCTCAAAGTCATTCAGACTGCAATTGCTAAATGACTTCACACCTGCAAATTGCCTAAAAAGGAATTCATATCCTGTTATCAGCAGTATACCTCTCAAAGCGTAATTCCATACTGTATGTTAGCTTTGTGTTGTCTATTGGTGACAGCAAATACTCCAAAGAAGTGTTCATTGCTCGTAATCATTCTTGGGAAGGTCATGTGATTTTATTCACCACAATACATTTGGTTACTTAAAATAAAGTACAAGTAAATAAGTAAAATGAAAGCGAGAGTAGAACCCACTGGAGCCTGGAATCCATCTTGAAAGGACTGCCTGTGTTATAAGTGCTTACAGTAAAATCAATAATAAGAGCTCTCAAATAACCTAATATTGTGTCTCAATGTTCTAGAAAAATAAGAAGCCAAACGCAAATGCACTAGACAGCAAGAAGTAATAAAGATCAGAGAAGAATTTAAACAAAAAACTAAAATAATACTAAATTAAAATAAAAGTAAAATAAAGTAGTGGAACACACAACTGGCTCTTTGAAAACATTAACAAGATTGGCAAGCTTTTATCTAAACTGACAAAAGAGAAAAATCAAATTAATACAGTTAAAAACTAAAAGAGAATTATAGAAACAGATTCCAATAAAACCAGAAGATCAACACAGAAAATTTAAAAGACATAAATTTCTAAATGCATATGATCTAGCAAAAGTAAAACCAAAAGATTTAACAATCTATATAAAACTGTAACAATGAGAGTAATCAAGTCTCCCCCATAAATAAAATCCCTGAACCAAATACACTCCCTGCTACATTTCCTAATACCAAGATTTCAAACGGTTCCACAAAACAGAAAAGGAACACTTCCATACTCGTTCTATAAAACCAACCTTACCCTCAGACCAAAACTGGATAACGGTACAACAGGCAGAACAATTTCTCTAATAAACAGAGATGCAAAACTTCCCTACAAAATACTTGAAAACCGAATTCAAGAACATATTCAGAAGATAGTGGGTCACAATTAAGTTGGTTTAATCCCAGGAATGCAAGATTGGTTCAACATAAGCATGTCAAGAAATATCAAATTACCTTAAAAATAGAATTGTAGGCAGAAGTCACATGATCATTTCAATGAATGCAGAACATCTTTATGTGATAAATGTCTTGAAGAAATTAGGAACAGTTGCAACATACCTCACCATAATAAAGACTATGGAAGGCAAACCTACAGCCAACATCCTTCTAAATGGGAAAATACCAAGACCTTTTCTTGCCAAATCTGAAACAAGTGTTCCCATTTTTTTCTGCTTTTAGTCACTATGTTTGAAGTCTTAGCCAGAGCAACAAGAAAGAAGTAAATAACAGGATATGGTGGCACATGACTTTAATCACTGCACTCTAAAGGCAGAAGCAGGCAGATCTCTGTGAGTTAGGGCTAGCCTGGTCTATACAGTGAGTTCCAGGCCAGCCAGTGCTACATAGTGAGGCCCTGCCTCAAAAACAAAAAGAAGAGGGGACTAGAGGGGTGGCTCAGGAGTGAAGAGAGCATGAGAACCCGAGTTAGGGTCCCAGAGCCCAAATCAGAAATCGTACAGCTGTGTGTCATTCACCTCCACGGAGATCCAAGTCCTCTGGCCTCCAGCCCCCATGTGTGCTCGTGCGTGCGTGCGTGCGTGCGTGCCTGTGTCACACACACACACATTCATCAATTCATCATTTACAATAAAGTATTTTTTAAAAGAAAAGATAAAGATAAAAAGAAACAAAAGTAGAAAAGGAAAATATCAAGTGGAAACATTAAAGTATTCTTCTTTGAAGATGGCAAGAGTCTGTAGGTAAAGGACCCCACGAACCCCAGCAGAAAACGTCAATAAAATTACAGGATTCAGAGAATCTCTCTCTCTCTCTCTCTCTCTCTCTCTCTCTCTCCCCCTCCCTCCCTCCCTCCCTTTCTCCCTCCCTCCTTCTCTCTCTCTCTCTCTTTCTCTCTTTTTCTCCCTCTCTATCTCTCCTTATACTTCACCTGTGCTATAAGCAAACACTACATGTAACACAAAGGAACCAAAACTGACAAATAAAGAAAGAACTTACATAGCCCTGGGATTCATGATGCAGATGGATTCTGAGCAGTGGCATTTCGCAGGATCATCGTATGATATTCCCAGACTGAGCCCCAGCATCTGGGTGAGAATAACCGAAAAGGCCTCCAAGGTCATGTCCTTGGGATACTACCAAAAGAGGAGACACCGTTGAATAATAAAAGTGCTTTTCCAAATTGGAACATTGTTTTTACATTGTGTCAAACACTTCATAATCGTGAACATGATTCCTTGAATGGTTGAGAAACTGGACTTCATCTTGGGAAAGGTACCGAGATAGACGTGTCCCATCAATGCCAAGCTCTACCCATTTCCCATTTTTCAATTCTATTCTCTTCCATTGCAGTATTTCTATGTCTATCTCTCTTAATTACAAAGGGATTATGTCTTAATATAAATACTTACAGACATTCTACATGCAACCCTCCACTTTCCTAATCTTCAAGACTATCAAAGTTTCTAAAAGCTGAATGATCCGTAGCTGCTCCCCACCCCATTGACTGTGTCTCTGCACTGATTTTCCCCCTATGTCCTCCGACACCTACTCCATCCTGGGTTCTCATCCAGGCCTGGCCAACAGACTTTGTAACCAGGGTAACCCCTCCATTATCTCAGTAACTAGATCTTTGGTCCTTTTTAAGGGTGGAGTGAGTACGTACCATTGTGATTCCTGCAGAGTAGTGGGTAGTACACATCTTCCCAGGATACGTTGCTCCTACGTAATTTGGGTACTCATTATAACTAAATACATAAACACATGTTTGTAATTAATCCTAGTGAACAGCCTAGCTGTGGGCAATCTTGAAAAATTAAGGCTCTGATTCAGAAAGATCCTACTCTGAAGTAAGTGGAAGCTCAGAGGTTAAATATGTATGTCCCCAGTTGTTTGAAATTTGGAAGATTCTCAGCTAAACTGGGCTGAATGATTGTAAGCTACAAAACACACAAAGCGCCCGTGCCTCTGCTGTCCTTGCAGGTCACCCAAGCCACAAAAACTGCATGAATTACAATATGTCACTTTCTCATAGAGGATGTGTCAGTGTCTTGGGGGGGGGGGGGGAATGACTTTGTTTCTTGGCCTGCCATTTCTTTCACTTGGTTTTGAGATAGAAGGATCATAAAAGCACTGTCCTCTGGGAGCTTGACTTAAGTGACCCCCGCTCTCTGGTCTCACAGAAGTCCATGCATGGTGTGACATCCCCAAAGTGTCTGAGGGGAAGCACTTTGTGAATTTCAATCAAAAAAAAAAAAAAATCCCACAGGAAAATGAAAGGGGTAAGGGGGCAGCGGCTATCTTAGCCTGGGGCTAAGTACCAGAAAACAGTGAGGGTGTGGCAGAGGTCTTGCAGAATACCATGGCTTTATACAAGCTAAAAGTAAAGCGAATATCCTCTCACCTCTGTGGTCAAAACTGTGAACCAGGAGGAGCTTTTTGTTCAACAGCCCAGCACAACAACAAAACATAACAACAACAAAAATCCTTGCTTAGAGCCTGAGATTGGGTGGGGAGATTATTGGTGAGATGAAAGAATGAACACACATGGATGGGTGTGGAGCCAGAGGCCAACCCTTCAGGAGCTGGCCATCTTTTGTTTGTCTTTGTTGTTGTTGTTTTGAGACAAAGTCTCTCATTGGGACCTGGGGCTGTCTGATTAGATGAGGCAGGTTGACCAGAAAGCCCTCCTCAGTACTGTCCCTGCCTCCCTGGTACTGAGATTGCAAGTGCCACCTCATTTGGTTTTTCACATGGGTGCTGGGCTCAAACCCAGGTCATCAGGTGTGCACATGTGCACAGCAAGCCCGTTATTCATGTGGTGTCAGGATTTTAAAAGGCTGGGCTCCCTTGCCAAGCAAGATAGAGACACTCAGATCCAGGAAGTTCAAAGGATTCTTAAATTGTACAATCCTGTGGCAAACACATTAAGTCAAGCTATCAAAAGTACAAGGTGAGGGGGAGGGGGAGAGAGAGAGACAAAGAGAGACAGAGAGAGATGACGGAGGGGGAAATGTTTTTAAAGGCAGAAGAAAATGTCAGTTTACATATAAAGGAATCTATCACAACAATGCCGAGCTTCTCATCAGAAATATTACAAGCAGGTCAAGAGAGAATGAGTCATCAAAGATAATAAATTCCCAACTGTAAGGAGCAGGCCCTTAAACAGGACCAACTCCATTTTGTAATAGGAAACTTGTAGAGTCTAGCCTGGTACTTGTAAAGGCAAGTCTGGAAATGAAGCTGTGCTGAGATAACCAGACACGAGTGGTTATCTGCCATGTACGTCAGGAGTAAGGCCAAATCCAACATAAAAGAGGAGCCTGTCCAGAGCACTTCACTTCACACTTGTAGCCATGACTAGCCAACGTGATCCTCCAGACAAAGCCTCCTCAGCACCCGGTCATCAAAGAATTAACTGAGAGACCTATGCCTCCAACTTCATGGCCAAGCCCCGACTTCAAACTGAGAGACCAATGCCTCCAGCTTCTTCGTGGTCAACACCCTTGAGGTCAAATTATCTGGAAGCCACAGCCTGACCCCACCTTACCGGACTCCGGACCTGTAACCCAAAACCAACATAAGGACTCAGGTCGTATAACCCATGAATGAATTATGTGTCTATTGCTATGCTTATTTCTTTGGTAATTAGCAACTTATTATTTGTGTTAATTGTGCATATTGTTAGAGGCAACCTATAGGAAATGTGACAATATCTTGTTGTAGCAATAGCCTTAGCATTTGTGTTTGTGTTTGCTTGCTGTACATTATCATTAAAAAACTGAATTCCACAAACTCTCTGTCTCTTGGCGTACTCTCTTCCCTCTCGAGGAGCTGATGATCTCACAGTCAAATACAGTATACGATCCCTGAGTGGAGCAGGACCTGTCGCTTCTCTCCCCGAGGGGCATTCAAACCCCTCGCTTATAATAGATAAGAGTCCCTGCTCGAGACACCAACCAATAATGCTGTACTCCAAAACCTAACCTTATGCTGCACCCCAAAACCTAACCATCGGAAATGAAGCCAAAGACTTCCTAAGACGAGCACAGACTGGGGCAATTCATCATGCCAGACTTGCTGCCCACGAAATGCTCAAGGGTGTCCTGCCCTAGAGGTGCCAGGAAGATGGCAAAGACCATCACAAAACATACAGGTACAGAACTCACAGAGGAGCAGACAGGGACCAACCCCACCCCTGCTCCATCTTCACACTCACGGGCCTGGCTACAATCTAGAAGAAGATCCTCCATTGGCCCAACCTGAGGCAGGCTAGAATCTCTCATCAGAGAGGATGAGACCAAGGAAACAAGTCTGCACACCCAGTGTGTGAACCAAAGCATTTTTATTGGTTTGCTTATTTGCTATATATTTTTGGATGCGTAATTTATGAGATTTTATCAAATCTTATAGGGCTGCCTTTTAACCCTGTTGATTGTTTTGTAAGACCCCCCAAAGAGACTGGAGACCCCCCTGCTCATGTCCCAGAACCGGCGCTCTCCCCCATGACCTAACTTGATGCAACACGGCAAGAGGCTTTATTCAGGAACCAACGCGCTGGGACTCGTCTCGTACCTCTCGCAAGAGGAAAGGAGAGACGAGCCCCAGACATAAAGTCACACAAGCTTATAAAGGCAAAAACCACAGGCTGGGAGGGTGGCTGGGGAATAGGGACTTTCTAGGTGGGAGTGTTCTCGATTGTGTCTCTTACTGGCACACACACAGCTCCAGTTTTCAGAAATATTTTGTATGTTCTTACCCTGGGACCCTTCCCCGGGAGTTCACGAGTTCACGGTCTCATGTTATTCTGAGATACTGGCCGTTTAAATGTTTCTGCTCTTACCGTTTCCTGTGCTGTACAGAAGCTCTTTAGTTTCATGTAATCCCATTTGTTTGTGGTTCTCAAGGCTGTGGTTGGTTTGCTTTGGAGGCAGAGTTTTATGTAGCCCAGGCTGGCTTTGGACTCTCTCTCTATAGCCAGGGATGATCCTGAACTTCCAATACCCCTGCTGTCCCTATCTCTCAAGTACTGAGAATACGGGTGCACGGCACCCTGTCAGTTCATGTAGTGTTGAAGACTGCCAGCCTTATAGCTGCTAAGCAAGCGCACCACGACTAAGTTGCATCCTACTTCCAGCCATTCATCAAAAACAAAGAATCCTACCTAGGCAAGTTGGCACATCCTTCCTGTCCAAGTTTCCTCATCCTTCCTGCTGTTCTTTTATGGTTTCAGTGTCTTAGTTAGAACTACCATTTCTGTGATCAAACACCGTGACCAAGAGCAAGCTGGGGAGGAAAGTGTTTATTCGGCTTGCACTCCCACATCACTGTTCATCATCGAAGGAAGACAGTGCAAGAACTCACACAGGACAGGAACCCTGGAGGCAGGAGCCATCGCAGAAGCCACAGAGGGATGCTGCTTACTGCCTTGCTCTTCCTGGCTTGTTCAGTCTGCTTTCCTACAGAACCCAGGACTACCAGTCCATGGATGGCAACACACACACACACACACACACACACACACACACACACACACACACAGAATAGCCTGGAGCCTCCCATACCACTTCTTTAGAAAATGCCTATGGGGGCATTTTCTCAATAGAAGTTCCCTCCCTTCATAACTCTAGCTTGTATCTAGCAGACATAAAACTAGCCAGCACATTCTGCAATTATATTTAAGTCCTTTTAAGAGAATATTTTTAACTACATGTATGTGTATATGTATGTGTATTTGAGGGTGGGGATGCCCTTGTGAGTGCAGGGGCCACCAGACATGGGTGCTAGCAATGGAAGCCAGTCATCCAGAAAACCTGTTAAGTTCCCTTAACAGCCGAGTCACCTCTTCGGCACTACATTGAAATCTTTGATGTTACCCGTTTGTTTTCTGTGCGGTACAATAGAGCCAGCTCATTTCTTTACTGTGTGTGGATATGGACACTCAGTTTTCTAAGTACCATTTATTAAAGAGAATGCCTTCCTCGAGGTACGGTTTTCTCAATTTTGTCAACAGTCGGGTTACATAGCTTCTAGTTTTCTGTTGTGCCCTAGTCCAGTTTTGTGTTAGAATAATGCTGGCCTCAGGATGAGTTTAGAAAAACTGCTTCCTCTTTCAGGTCTAAAATGGATGTCCCTGTGTCCATCAATGTTTTCCCTTTGGGGCTCAGTAAACTGCTGTAGAGGAGATAAAAGATGTAAGAGCCAGAGGGGATGGAAGACACTGAGGAAAGGAAGCCTTCGAGACACAACAGAATCAATGCTCACATGAACTCACAGAGACCATGGCAGCATGCACAGGTCCCACACAGATCTAATACAGATAGGGGTCCTAGCTGAAAACAAGTACAATGCACAAGTTCCCATCCCTAATCCAGACACCATCTCCAATAACTGCTCACAAAGTAGTTCTCTCCAACAGAGTCTCACTATGTACACAAACCGCTCTTTAAGAGAAGGCTCCATACCCAGAAGTAGATGGCCAACACAAAATAGTTGATTGGTTTGTCACTAAGTCTTTCTCACATCTTAAAGAGATGGAGATGAACTTTCTGCTTGGTCTTTGCTGTTTTTACTTGATGCACCAGGACTTCCTATAATTGTCATATGTGTCTATGTCAACTGTTCTCATGTGTTATTGCACCAGGACTTCCTGTAATTGTCATATGTGTCTATGTCAACTGCTCTCGTGTGTTATTTTGTGTCCAAAGTAGAACTAAGTAGCGAAACCTTTGGTCTCTTCGACTTTTCA